GGGCTCCCCAGCCCCCCCCCCTCCACCACCAGCCCCCACTCTTCTCCTAGAGCCAGGGAGAGAACCCAGGAGTCCTGGCTCCCAGCCCCCACCCCACCCCAGATTTACCACTAGAGTGCACTCCCCTCCCTGATCAGTTCCCTTCCTCCTCCCACGCTATCAGCAGGGTCTGGGCATCCCACTAATGCGCTGATGACAGTGCAGAGGAGGGAGGCTCTCGTGGCATGGAAGGGCAGAGCCCGCAAAGGGGAGTCACCCATCAGCCCCCTTCCGCGCCAGCCTTTCCCTCGCCTCACCCAGCCGACCCGCCAGCACCTTCCCCGGCCCACCCCTGAGGGCCACAGCCTGCCAATGACCACCAAGTTTTTCCCCCCACCAACCATTTGCCTGGGCGACCCACCGTCACGTTCCACCCGTCGCTGCCTGTAAGGTCACCACCCCACGCCTAGGCAGCATGGGGAGACCACCCCCCCCCCCCGCCCACTGTAGAAAGCCCTGCCCGAGAGACCCAACTAGCAGCCCCCTGGGAGGCTCCCAGCCCACGGGGCGTCCCTCCAATAAAGTGTCATGGCAACAATGGGGCTCCTCTGTGAACTACCAGGACCAACTCTGCTCCTGAACTCCCGGGATTGACTGTGCCTTGGAGTCCAACCCTGGCTCCGGCCTCACAACGCGACCCACGTTTTGATCTCTGGTCCTGATGTCGGGCCCCCAAGCCCCTGACTGCCGGCAATTTTCCCTCCCCTCCCCGGCACACAACAATGTTCATCTTTAATTTTTCCCCACCCACCACCATTTTTCTCCACCCACCACCATTTTTCCCCACCAGCTCCCCCAAGAGGCTGTAATGGCCCTGCCCCGTTTAAAGGCCGGAGGCCTGCTCAGGGATAAGCGCCGTCTGGGGCCGGGTCATGTGTGCTCTATAAAGAGCTGCAGGAGGGCTGCGGGGAGTTGAGTGGCGTGGTGTTTCCAGGCCAGGCCAGGCCATGGCTACAGAGGAGTTCAAGGTGCAGTAGGAGGAGACCAAGGCGGTAGGTGGCTAACCAGGAGTTTCCTCTTCCAGGGAAGACCCACAGTGGGACCAGGATCATGGACTGGGCAGCTGGGCTCAAGGAGACGCCTGAGGCAGTGCAAAAGTCGACGGAGCTCAGGGCGGGTAGGAGGGTTCGTCCTTCTGCACTGGGCTGGAACTCTTGTATGGACCACCAGTAGTTATGGGGCTGCTGCCAGCCTTGATCTGGCCACCAGGAGGTGCTCCAGGACACTGCGTCCATACCAATGCTGCACCAGCGGGAACCTAGCTGGACTCACCTGGAGGTGATTAACCACCTAGGTGGTTGGCAGCTAATTGGCGAATGAGCACCTGGTCCAGAAGCGGCTCCCGGAGCTCAGTGGGAGATGGGGCTGCTCCGAAGTTGAAGAGCTCCTGGAGGGGGCGAATCCAGCTCCCAGGAGAAGACGTCTGTGTGGTCGATAACGTGCAGGGGCCGAGGGAGGCGGTGGGACTCTGAAGCTAGCAGAGGGGAAATCCCTCTTCAGGGCTGGGAGGGGAGCAGAGTCTGGTGGGTTATGGGGGGGGGAGGGGGGTCCTGGGTTCTATCCTTAGCTTGGGTGGGGGGAATGGGGATAATGGTTAGAGCTGGGAACCAGGAATCCTGGGTTCTCTCCCCGGGTGGGGAGTGGGGTCTGGGGGTTAGAGCAGGGGGGCTGGGAGCCAGGACACCTGGGTTCGCTCTGTGGCGAGACGGGCATGTTCCAGATGCTCTCTGTGCTACTGAAATGACTCAGGCGACAACCACAAACCCCTTTGGGTTTTTCTTTTATCGTTGCCGGGAAGAGAGTTTCTGTTCATTTTAAATAAAGACTGTCCCCATGGAGACAGAAACCAAGGCAACTGCAGCATCTTAATGCGAGACCGTGACCCCCCCCCCCCCCCAACCCCCCCCAACCCTTCCCCCCCCCCCCCCCCCCCGATCCATTCCCCCCCCCCCCCTGGAATAGGTCATCTGTGATTTCCCCCCCCCCCCCCCCCCCGATCCATTCCCCCCCC